TATTTGAAAAGGGAGTTCTGCTATTTGAAAAGAATGCTCCGCTAATTGGAAAGAGAGTTCTGCTATTTGAAAAGAATGCTCGGCTATTTGAAAAGGGAGTTCTGCTATTTGAAAAGAAAGTTTCGCTATTTGAAAAGGGAGTTCTGCTATTTGAAAAGAATGCTTCGCTATTTGAAAAGAGAGTTCTGCTATTTGAAAAGAATGCAACGCTATTTGAAAAGGGAGTTCTGCTATTTTAAAAGAATGCTCCTTTATTTGAAAAGGGAGTTCTGCTATTTGAAAAGAAAGTTCCGCTATTTGAAAAGGGAGTTCTGCTATTTGAAAAGAATGCTCCGCTATTTGAAAAGAGAGTTCTGCTATTTGAAAAGAAAGTTCTGCTACTTGAGGAGAAAGTTCCGCTATTTGAAAAGAGAGTTCTGCTACTTGAGGAGAAAGTACCTCCCACGAACACGGAGAAGTCTGTAGCTACCTAAAGGACAATATAAAATATGAAACCATTGGAGATCTACAATGTTGTGAGCATCATGAAATAATTTGGATTAAACTAAATCTTAAACTAATTCCTCGGGGTTTTTCATGCATCATATTAGCGGTTGTCTATTATCCAGGCCGAACAAGCCCAGCAGAATCTGATGCCACGAACATCATTAGCCACCTGTTCGACAGTTTGATGACGGCAGAATCCATCTTTCCGAATTGCGGAATAATCATTACCGGTGATTTCAATCGACTTCACCTCAACCAATTGAAAAACCACTTCAAGGTAAAACATCTAGTTAAATTTCATACGAGAGGAACAGCAATACTTGATTTAATTCTGACGAACATGGATAAACACTTTTCCACACCTGAATGTTTCCCTCCGTTGGGTTTGTCGGACCATAATACAGTTTTCTTAAAAACAACATTAAGAATCCCAAATCAGCATACTCGGAAAACTGTAACAATTCGTGATATGCGAGAAAGCAATAGGGCCCGCCTTGGTCGCTACTTTGCCTGCGTTGATTGGTCGTGTTTATATAGTCAAAATACCTGCGAAAACAAATCTAAAGTCTTTAATGATCTCTTCACGATTGGTTTGGAAAACATCTTACCCGAAAAATCGATAAAGATTTATCCTACAGACACCTCGTGGATGTCTGTAAAGTTGAAGAAGTTAATACACCAGCGCCAGATCGCCTTCCACAAGAACAAAAACAGTTTATCATATAAGTTCTATCGTAATGCAGTAAATAAGGAAAGGAAAAGATGTAAAGCAGCGTATTACGCCTCTAAGGTGAAAGACCTTAAAGGAGTCAACCAACGAAAGTGGTGGGATGAAATCAACAAGTTAAGCGGATCCAAAAAGAAACATTCAAATTTGCAATGTTCCCTCAACATCCCCGAATACAATGACAAGACAAACCCAGAAATCGCCAATGCCATCAACGAAGCTCTGTTAGATCCCCTGCAAGTTTTAAAACCTCTCAATCCTGAATCCGCAGATGTATTTTTACCGTTGGAAGAAAATCCTGAATTCCTCGAAGTACCAGCTTATCGAGTGTATAATAATTTGATACACCTGAATAAAAAAAAAGCCTCTGGTCCTGATGGTGTATCAAACTGGATGCTGAAAGACTATGCCGAGTTCCTAGCGCAGCCAATTGCGGATATAATAAACGCCTCGTACAAAGAACAAAAACTACCAAAAACTTGGAAACTGGCAGATATTACATTTCTCCCCAAAGTAAAGCAAGTTACTGACCCAAAGAAAGAGCTACGACCTATCTCTCTGACTTCTGCAGTTTCTAAAATTGCAGAAGACTTTGTAGTTTCAGACTATATTAGACCAGCTTTAAAGAAGAAAGTAGATCGTAATCAATTTGGCACCGTCTCTGGTTCTTCCACTACGTTAGCTCTAATAGGTATGGTGCATAACTGGCTCGAAGCTACAGACGGTAATGGATCTGCAGTAAGGGTCATTTTGTTCGACTACCGTAAAGCGCTTGATCTCATAGATCATGGCATCCTAATCACCAAATTGAAAGAAATTTGTATACCAAACAGCATCAAAAATTGGATAATCGACTTCCTCTCAGATAGATCACAACGAGTGAAGCTTAGTAAGGACTGCCTATCAGACTGGGGCAAGATTCCCTCTGGTGTTCCCCAGGGTACCAAACTTGGACCCTGGTTATTCCTACTAATGATTGACGACTTGTCAGTTTCTGAAATTTTCAACATGTGGAAATATGTCGATGACACTACAGTATCGGAAACCATATCAAAGGGGCAACACAGCCATGTACAACAGGCAGTGGACCAAGTTAATGAATGGTCAAAGGAAAACTTGATGCAACTAAACAGTGAAAAGACAAAGGAACTGATCATAAGTTTTAGCCGACCCCATCCTCCACAATTCTCACCTAGTATTATAGACGAAAATCCCATTTTGAGGATAACCAAAGCAAAGTTACTCGGGTTAATGATTAACGATAAACTGACATGGAACGATCATATTGAGGAACTAGTGAAGAAGAGTTCTCGGAAGCTGTATTTTTTAAAACAACTTAAGCGTACGCAAATACCATCAAACGATTTGGTTACATATTATTGTGCATGCGTTAGATCTTCTTTGGACTATGCATGCCCAGTATACCATATCTCTCTACCACGTTATCTACATGACGACCTGGAAAAGGTCCAAAAGAGAGCTTTAGCGTGCATTTTCCCAGGAATACCTTATTCTGATGCTTTGGTATTGGCGGAAATACCCCCTATTAAAGACCACCACAGCACAATTACAAAGAAACTGTTCCAGTCCATATCCGAGAACCCAAAAAATAAAATCCATCACCTGATTCCAAGTGCTAACAAAAATCCTAAATACAATCTTAGGAAAAATAGGAAATTTTCACTACCACTAGTAAGAACAAAAAGATTCTCGGACTCCTTTATTATGCGTGGTAGTACCAACACACTTTATGATTAGTGTAGATTATTATTAAAATCTCTAACAATATAGATTTTATAACTTTTAAAATAAGATTTTGACTCTTAAAGAAATTTTAGTTAGTAAAGTAGTTAAGTTGTAAATTTTTTGTAAAAGTTGCGCAATTCAGTGTAAAACTGCAAGGTAACTTATTAAATAATCTATCTCTATCTATCTCATCCACATGCAGATACCTTTGTTATGATAGAATTTGAAAAGCATAGAATTAAATAATTAATCCACATATTGTCAAAAGTTTTGCTAATATCTACAGGGTGTCCCAAAAAAAGTGACACTATAGAAATTATCCTATTGTCATAATTTGAATGCCCTAGCACTAAGTTGATCCCACAGATGCATAAACTTCTGCTTCTGGAATTTAAAATAAAAAAGCAAACCGTTTATTAGTGTAATCGTTTTGCTTGACTCGGGCGTTAAAATATTTGGACAAAGCGAAAACGTTTTAAAATGCTTAAATGTAAATACAAGTTCATTAAATTCCAAGGCGTGTAATCACGCGCGTTTAAGAGCGGCTTAAGAACAATGAGATAATTTCTATACTGTCACTTTTTTTTGGAACACCCTGTACAGGGTGTCCCAAATAAAAGTACCCTCTATAGAAATCATCCTATTGTCGTTAAGCATAGGATTTCATGCGCCTGGTAATTAAAAATTCAATTCAATTGTGTTTACGCACTCTTGTGTTCAGCATAGTGCTCAGGCATTCAAATTATAACAATAGGATAATTTCTATAGAGGGTACTTTTTTGGGGGACACCCTGCATGTAAGCAACATAGACTTTTCCTTTTGTCAAACATTGATTAATAACTTTTCAATCGTGAAACATGTTGTTAAAGCATCTCGCTGCTTTTGCATGATAAGCCCCCTGGAGGGAGTGATGTAGATATTTCGACTAGCTACCTTGGTAGACTTGATAAAACAATTCGTTCAGCAGTTTTATCTATACCTGGTAGTGAACTTATCCTTCGATGGTCGTCAAATGATCGAGAATTTTTATTTACTTTTGGGATCTGGATTTTTATCGCCAATTTTTTTTTAATTTAAACATTATTTAGATACATTTACCCTAATTTACCCCAAGAACTTAAAGCTCATCGAGGGGGTTCATGCTAACATAAAGTACAATATTGCATTACAATTACCACCACAAGTACAGACAAAAGAAGATCGTTTGGCAATTGCATAAACATCCTATGCGAAACGTGCAGAACTACCAATATAGCATTGTACTTCAGAGAAAATTGCAGCATTTACTTCAAAACTTAGATTTTTTGAACCATGTAATAGAATGTCCACTTGTTGAGAGATATTCAAAACGTTCCATACGTTTCCGGCAAGGTGCCTGACAGAGGTAAGCATTGAAATACGCAGAGCAGCAAAGCGAGGGCAAAATAATAAATAATGAGTTACATCTTCACTAAGTGCACCACAGGTATAAGATGGAGATAGAACACAGTTCATTGAAATAAAGACAATGATTAAGACAGCAATTGTTTAGTCTTAATCTTGTGTGTATATAAGGCCGAAAAATACCGGTCACCCAAATAAACCAATCTATTGACAGGAGGTATATAAAATCGTTCACGTAATAAACAGTTTTAAAGAGAACAAATGTTGCAGATTCTCTCGTGGATTCAGAAAGATTATTCCATAAAAAAATTGTAGAATACAAAAAGGATTTTTTTGCTTTCTCGGTGCGAATGAAAGGTAAACTTAAATCGTTCCTAGTCCGAAGCCTATATGTAGTTCTTTGACTTACGTAAACAGGACAAAGATCCGACAAGTAACTTGGAGCTTAACCTTTAAACATTTGGTACAATTATAACACCTTATGTATTTTTCTCCGGCTATTTAACGTATGCAGCCCGCAATTAATTAACACACTTTCTCTGTGTGTACCTTTCATTGCTCCAGAAATTAATTTTGCTGCATCATACTGAACACTTTCGAGCAGGTTTTTGAAGCGTTCATTGTGACTAATCATTTATTAGACCACAGTGGAATAAATTTAAGTCTTTATTCAAGGCCGCAGATTGTGGTGAGCATGCTTCCTCCAATAGCATAGTATCATCGGCAAAAAGAAAGCAGTCACTATCAATATCATGTTGAATATCGTTAATATATATTAAAAACAGAAGCGGGCCCAGAACAGATCCTTGAGGCATTCCTGCTTTAACTTCTTTCCAAGATGAGCTACTGTCTTCAATAACTACTCGTTGCTGCCGACTTTTAAGATATGATTCAAACCAATTTAATAAAGTACCTTCTACACCAAGATTTTTCATTTTTGCTAATAGTCCGACATGCCAAACCTTATCAAATGCTTTTGATATATCTAGAAATACAGCTCGTATCTCATTTCCTCTATCTAAACAATCACATATTTTGCAACAGTAGAGTCATCAGAACGGAAACCAGATTGAAATCGGTAGAACTACTTAAGTTAGAACTACTTTACTTTAGCAAAAAAGAAGTGCTACGGGGCGGTAAGAGTGGTAAAACGTTTGCTAATTTCCAAGATTGTGGAAACTGACCAAGAGAAGGTGATGTATTTATAAAATTCGTGAAAGGCTTATAAATGCCATAATTACAAAGCTTAATAATGTTATTACTAATTCCATCCATCCCACAGGCTTTGGCAGTATCCAATTGACTAATTAAATTTGCAACTTCAACTTCAGTAACAACAATACTTGATAAAGTAGAATTTAAGTTGGGAGAAAGTTCAGGTATATAGTATACTGCACTCTCAGTTGGTAAATAAGTCTGACTTACAAAAAATCATCCAGTCAGCTTTATCTTTAGAATCGAATACATACTCATTATCTTCATATAATGGTGGTATTGCTGAGCTAGCCTTAGAACCGTACGTAAAACAATTTCGCTACGTGGAACCGTAAAACGCCCCCCCCCAATCGCAAAAAACCATTCTCTGAAAAAGGCTAGGTGTGGTATAATAACTTTATTAGCAAGACCAACAGTTACGGGTATTACACGCAACAATAATTACACGCTTGGCGGTCATGGCTTATTGTCTTCCTGGTCATGCAATGTTGAAAACAACATTGTTTGTTTATGCTATGCGGGCACTTTACATCTTACATTCCTGAGACGATCGAAGAATAGGAGGCATGGGCGCCCGTGTGTTTATTATAATAACACTACAGCAACATTTCGTACTCTACTTATTGGTGATCTAGTCTTTAAACTAAATCCTGGTCCTACTCGCAGCAAAATTTCACCCATTGCATCCTGCGTCATAGCTATAGGCCTTTCAGGCCAACAACATCTCGCGATGTATATGTGATTAGTATAAACACTAATAATTTAATCACTGTGAATTGTTCTAATTATCTGAATGTACATTACCAATCATTAAAATTCTGTGTATTAAATGCTCGTTCAGTAAGACCGCTGACATTTTGGACTACATCTGTGAATGCAAGCTGGATGTTGTTGGTATAACCGAGTCCTGGCTGAGCTCTGATGACGCAGCTGTCCGAACAGAATTATGTCCTGATGGCTACAAATTTCTGGATCACCCACGCGACGGGCTGCGCGGTGGCGGGACTGGTCTAATATCCAGGTGATCTCGTGTTCGTATTTTAGCCAATCAGCGCTCAGAAAGGGTTGTCAGAATAGAAATCCATTTTGATGTATTCAGTCAATTATATGTTTCATTATTCTTTATGAAACTAGTTGAAATTTTGTAATTATGTTTGGTTATGAGAACTATAGCTCTGACAAAAATATGGAATCGAAATAAAGTATATTACAGGAGATATTCAGTTGTTTTAATCATAAAATGGATTTCTATTTGACAACTAGTGCCAGTACTTTTCCGCGTATCGAGATCATCTGGAAGGTAAATTGTAAGTTTTGAAGGATTTGCAAGAAATGTTTGTGGGAACTGACTCCATGTTTAACTATATGCAAAATTCATTCTGTGATCACTTTGATATTGTAGACAGTGCCTTTAGTCTAATATTCCTTTTATATATTTTAGAAAATTCATCGTCGACCTATCGTGAGAACAGAAAGTTCCACCTGGTTTGGATATCTTCTTGGTAAGAGAAACTTACGACTCATAAACTAATACAATGCCACTGAACACTTTAATCGGTTATTTGGCATTATATCATCATCTCTGACTGAAGCTATGCATGTTAAATGTTTGTAGGTAAACAGGAA